CCTGTGATCCTCCTGCATTTGGCATCATTGCATGTGTTGCGTGAGTCTGAAGAGGATTTTATAGAATGATCTCAGACAGATGGGTTAATGTCAGACTTATGGACTTGATCTGGACTGGGCTAGGATGTTTTCTTAATATACAATTACTCTTTGATATAAAGCTCTCTCTTACACACATTGGAGGGTCTCTGGATTTGTTTCTCTAGTCAACCTGGACTCACACCCTTACCTTCCATGACTCGGGGTCTTTTTTTTAAAGGGGCATTTATTGAACCTCCACTGCATTAGGTACTGGGCTGAGCTTTCCATGAGGTCTAGTTTCATTGTCATCACCGTCCTTTGAAACAGGTAAGAGCATCTCTGTACTAGAGGAAGAAGCTCAGGCTTGGACTCACTTCCGCTCCATTCTGAGCTCGGCCACACGCCAGCTTTGTGCTCTTGGGAGAATTCTTGACCTCTCTGAGCTCAAGAACACCCCAAGAATCTGCCTGTAAATATCTTGGGGATCCATCCACCTTCATAGCTTCAAGCCTCCCAGTCCCTCAGTCAGAATTTGATGAGGAGGCTGGAAGATGCAGTCACAGCCCTCTCTCGAATGCAGAGAAACGTACCAGCCCAAGAACCCATCAGGCTGTATCAGTTCCCTGCAGCTATAGGAACTAGTTGGAAGTGGGCCCAGCACCTTTCGTAGGTGCTCCATAAACAAAGGTGTCCACCACCCAGGCTGAGTCCTCGATGTGTGTTTGCTGAAGAAGTGCATGAATGCACACTGGGTGATTCCAACCCATCCAGGGGCCTCCAGTTATGCTTCCATTGCTTCTGCCCCAGGCCCTTGGCACCTGCCGTCTCCTAAGATCCAGAACGCTTCTCTTTTTCGCTTGTTACCCGGTCATTACTGTCTTGTTGCTCAGCGTTCCTTTAAGGAGACGCTATCCCAGATCAGTGTCTTCTCTCTTGTCCACATGCTTCCTTCCTTGATCTCCCCATGCCTGCGAGCCAATGGCTATGGAGTCCGTTGCCTATGGGCTGTTTCTCACACTAGACACCCGGGTGGTGCAAACAGCTCGCCCTCTTGCCTACCGATCAGCAGTGCCCAGGAAGAACAGCCTGGCAGTCTGCCCCACAAGGTGATGAAATGACCCTTCTACTTGGGAACATCTGGGAACCTCCATGACTCAGTGGAACTGCTTGGCTTTGGGATTCTTAGTTTCTCCACCTGGTAGGGGCATGGAGGCTGCCTGGGGCTGCAAACCACAAGGTCAGCAGTTCAAAGCCACCAGCCGCTGCAAGGGAGAAAGATGAGGCTTTCTACTCCGATAAAGATGTACAGTCTTGGAAACTCACGGGAGCAGTTGCCCCCTATCCTCTAGGGCGGTTACGAGTTAGAATCGATTGGATGGAATCCAGTTGTGTTTTTTTTCCCCCCACTAAGCCATGAGCTGCAGGCGGGTACAGCCCCTCTCCATGTGTTCCCTGCTGGGGTCCCAATACTTAGCATGTGCCCTGCCCAGAGAGAGCAGTGTATCTTGTAGGGCTGCAGGAATTCGTGTGATGCCTCTTGGCATCTGACTGTGATAACAAGACATCAACCCGTGAAATGTGCACCCTTGAGCATTTTGGGAAACGGTCCGTTATAACACTGCCTCAGAATCCCAGAAGTGCCTGCATTGCTGGGGGGCGGGGGGCGCAAAGCAACGTGTTCTTTTTCTGATGTGTACAACTGGCTGTGAAAAAGTTGTTGAAGGCTTTCCAACAGTGGCCGCTATCTAAATGCTGAGGGGCAGTGGGGGGCTGGCGAGGTGGCGCACATGACTTTGGTTTGGGGATGACGTTCTGGGGAATGGAGATTCTCGTATCGGTGCCTAGTTCTTCAAAGCCCTTTAAAAAAAAAAATCACAACCCACGTGTGTTTGGCCTGCAGTCAGCCAGCCCTCGTTCAGTGAAACTTGACTAATTCCATCTCTGAGGGGAATAGAAAGATCACTGACCTAGTTTCTCCATCGTGCTCAAAAGCGGCAGAAGAGCCGCTGCTTTATAATTAATTCAGGACACCCGGGACGGTCTTGGCCTAGAGAAGGTCCCAGGAGGCGCTGATGGGATGAAGAATTGGTCATCAAGAAGCCAAGGTTCCTATCTCCAGGGGAGGGGACACAACGGCCAGTTGTGATCATCCGAGGGAGGGAGGGGCGCTCTGTAACCATGGACACCAGAAGAGCCTGGGGATCCTTGGCTCACCCCTTTGAGGCTGTGTCCTGCCCATGTGGGTTGCTGAGGACAAACTCGCAGACTTGTGGCTCCTACATGAATACCGGGTCCGCCGGTAGCCCATACTGCCGTTCGGTATTGAAACAAACAAACCTCAAACTCACGGCCATTGAGTTGCTTCTGACTCATAGCGACCCTATGGGGGAGGGTAGGCCTGCCCCTGTGGGTTTCTGAGACGGCCACTCTTGCCGGGAGTGGAGAGCCTCATCTTCCTGCCATGGAGTGGCCGGTGGCTGACCTTGTGGTTAACAGTCCAACGCATAACCCTCTACACTACCAGGTCTCTTAGTTTGGCACTGGGATCCCCCAAACACTTGGTTCCAGCATCCAATTCAAAGGAAGAGACCCTTCAGAAAGCCAAGCGTGAGGACCCACTTGGGCTGATCAATCCTTGGGAGTCAGTTCCTTGTGGGTTTTCTGTTCAAAGGCTGCGTCGGGTCCATGAAGATAGATGACACTCAGCTCCCCCACACCCAGGGGCAGTGGATGCTCAATGCCCCCAGACCAGCAGGCGAAAGCAAACAGGATCAAGAATTTGTGTGCCAGGCCACCGCTCCATCCCGTTTCCTCTACCTACCAGGACCGGCTGCCCCGGGGTCGACTCCGCCTTACAGACACCCTGTGCGTGTTAGAAGGGAACTGTGCTCCGTAGGGCTTTCCACGGCTGGCTCTTCAGATTCAGATCTCCTGGCCTCTCTTCCGAGGTGCATCCAGGAACTGCTAACCTTCCCGTGAGCAGACAGCCACATTGGCTCTGCTCTCCCTTCCAGCTACATTTCCCCTCGGTTCAATCAGCAGAAAGAACAGGGAAAAGGAACACAAAAAAAACAGGGTGGGGGTGTTTTCAAGGGCCTTGTACTTTTTGAGGCACATGGTCTTTATTAGGTATTAATTGGCACTCAAATATATGGAACGAGTACTGTATTCTCACCCTTCCCCCTCCCCCTTTAACAACGTACAAGAAGACATAATCGCATACAAGCATACACTCGCTCACGTCCTTGGACATACTCAGCCTCGCGAATTACCCTGTACTCTTTATTAGGGTGAGTTTAAAATGAAAAGGGGAAAGAAAAACGCAAAAAGCAAGAAAGCAAAGCACCGTGGAAAGGGC